AATTGATGTGAAGTATTTAGCACCATTCCAAGAACATAGTAAGCTCTCATTAAATAGTAGATGTTATTTCTTTTTCCTTAAAATAGAAAGGTAAAATCATCAGTAGTTTTGATCAGGGGCTTGTAATCAAATAGACCTGGGTTGTGAACCTGAGTAAGGTCCTTACTCTCTCTGAGGCTTAGGTCTTTCTTCTACAAGTGAAGGCTAGTGCCCACTTCCCAGAGTAATTGTAAATAGAAATCATAAATTACAGCATTTGATGTATAGTAGGAACTCAACAAACAGCTATTATTGTTGAGAAAAATTAAAGAAATAGAGTTGTGTCAACAAGAAAGAACTGTACCACCTACTCTTCTGCAAACTAGTAGAATATGAGAAAGTTAAGTGTGGCTTTTTTCCTGTAGTTTTTGAGCAAGAGACAGAAAAATACACTTTGTTGAGTCTGTGATCCCCTTATTTACCCAGTGTGCTAAGAGAAGAGATGTTTGTGACAGAGCTTAGAATAAAACTTGGTACATATTATGCCCTAATAAATGATAGTTGAACCTGAATCTGGACACATTCGATTAGCCCATTTTGAATAATTAGATAGTCCATGTAATTTGTTTGCCATTGGGGTTGTTTTAATTGGAAAATAGTACATGCATGCACATAGCAAAAAAAATTCAAACAGTATAAGGATATATGCAATCAAATTTAAGTTCAAGACTCACCACTATTAACTTGGACAAGTTAACTTTTCTGTATCTCAGTATTCTTATCTGTAGGGTGAAAATCATATCAATACCTACTTTATAAGGTTATTATGAAGCTTTTACAATTATCCTCTTTGGTGCATCTGGACTTTATTTTGGCATAAGATGAAAAACAATGATCTACCTTTCTTTCTTTTCCACATGTCGAGCCAGCTGCTCCAGCACTATTGATTGAATATTCTATGTAAGCTGCAATCCTTGCTAGCTACCAGATGACTGATGTTCTATTGTTCTTCAACCCCAAATAGTGTGTGGCCCAATCCTAATTCATTTAACTCTCATTTTTCTTCTGCTTTTGACATGAACAGAAGGTGACTTGGGCAGACACATTACTTGGGAAAGTCACCTTCCCTTCTTATAAATGAAAAACACAGAGGGACAACGTGAGAGGTGTGGCATATGTCTAGGATCCCTTTAACGAACAGCCTATAAGAGTTATTAAAAGAAATAAAAATTTCCTATTGAAGGAAATATAAGCCCTTTCCTCACTTAATATCCCATTACATGGTTATATCATGAATAATTAAACCATGTCTCTCTTGTTGTATATTTGCACTGTTTTCTCTGCACTAGCTGTTATACATATTACTATGCTATTCTCAGACATATATTTTCTCTTAAGTAATATTTTTAGATATGAGATTTCTAAGTGAAATGATATGAGTTTTTTTAAAATTTTTATTGAAATATAATGTACTTACAGAAAAATGCGCATAGGTGTACAGCTTGACAAATTTTCAAATTTAACACTGCCATTTAACCAAACATCATATTTAGAAACAGAATGTTCATGCCCCACTCAATTATTCCTCCCTCTCAAGGGTAAGCCCCAACAGGACTTCTAGTGGTATATATTTGTTTTGCCTTATTTTTGAATTTCATATGTTTGGAATCATAAAGTAGGTAGTTGTTTTATTTCTGGCTCCTTTCATGCAACATTATGTTTGGAATCTTTATCCTCTTTGTTGTGTATAGTTATAGATCATTCATTTTAATTGCTGTATAGTATTCCATTGTTTGAATATCCCACAAATTATTTATTTATTTTACTGTTAATGTGCATATGACATTTTTTACTACCATGAATGGTGCTGTTAAGAACACCCTAGTATATGCATTTCTGTTGAGCATATACTTAGGAGTGGGTGTATACCTTAGAAATCGCTATTGTGTATAAAGCTTAGAAATTACTTAATCATAGAGTAAGGCATATGTGAAGCTTTTATGTATTTTTAAGCCAAATTGCTTTTCAGAAATGTATGTTTGTGGTGATGGAAAAATATTTTCACTCTTATGTGATAGGTACTTTTGAATTTAAATATTTCATTTAATGTTCATAATAACCCTATGAGGTAGTTGGTGTTATTCTTGTTTTATTGATAAGGGAATGGAGGCTCAGAGATGTTAAATAATCTCCCCCAAGATTGTGGTTAAAAAATGGCAGAGCCAGGAGTTTAACCCAGATTTGTCTGACTCCCAAGGACATGCCCCTTCTACTGTAACTCCTCTATTATTTTCATAGGGCTGTTGTTGCAAAGCACAACAAACCGAGTGGCTTAAAACAACAGAAATATATTGTCTTACAGTTCTGGAAGCCAGAAGTCTGAAATTAAGTTGTTGATAGAGTTAGGTTCTCTCTCCTAGCTTTTAGTCATTACTGGCAATCCTTGGCATTTCTTGGTTTGCAGCTGCATAATTCTAATCTCTGTCTCCATCATCACCTGGCCATCTTTCATCTGTGCATCTGTGTCTTCACATAGCTGTCTTCCCTCTGTGTTTGTATGTCTCTGTACATCTTCTCCTGTTCTTATAAGAATACTCATCATATTGAACTAAAGACCCACCCTACTCCAGTATGATCTCATCTTAACTTGATTACATATGTAAAGACTATTTCCAAATCAGGCTACATTCATAGTTACCAGGAATTAGGACTTTAACATAGTTTTTTGGAGGACACACTTTAATCCATACTCCTTCCTATCCCATTCATCATAGTGGTTAAAAATTTACCAGGTTGTTTAAAATCTCAGTTTTTATTACTGCAGATATGATGTCTGTGAGATATGCACCTGCAGGAACAGCACTTGTATGTGACTTGCCAGGAGAATGCAGTGGCTGGGCTGAGCTCAGTGCCAGGCTAATGTTCCTTCTACTTGGTGGGCTTAGCAACCCAAACATCCATGGCTAGTATTCTAACTGGAGCCATGCATTCTCACATACACTAAGAAAAGGGGATATAGGGACCAGGAAAGGCCCAGGTTAAGGAAGGCTATACCTATTTATTTATTTCTACAGATGGGCTGCAGTATCTTAGGAACCTTTCATTTCTATTATTGGTAAGGCAGGCTGGCCAAGTGATGCTATTTTTTCCTCTCACCAGAAATCTCTGTTTTCTCTCAAGTCCCAGCAGAATCATAATCAGTACTTGTGTTTTTTAATGAGCACCTTCCAAGGGCCACACACTATCCGAGAGATTTGGTACTTAGCATTTCTAATCCTTAACACAACCTTAAAGATAGTTATTCATACCAGCAAAGCCCTTGGAATTAGCCGTGATGGTCATAAAAGGTGGGTAATAGCACCTGGTAGACAATGTGATCCAATGGAAGAGGGCATCTATCACTGCAGGATGCTCTGTGGCAAATCAGATGGTCTTAATGTTAGAGATACAGTTAGGGGCTGAGAGAACTTGAGGAACTTTGCTTCAGACTGACTCCAGGAGATATTTTGAGTCTGGGCATCAGGTTTGGGTACCCAGTAGGATAAATCTGCTACATGCAGTCTCTCTTGAAAGTCATGAGGGACATACCATTCAGGTCACTTTTCAGAGAAGTGAGCACAGATTGAAGACAGAAGGGAGGATTATTGTGGTAGTCCCTCAAGATGCTATCTAGTCCATATCCTTACATTAGAGCAAAACCACATGTATATCAAAGCCCTAAGGACAAAGAACTCAAATTCAAGTTAAGTTTATGGGCCAGTGGTAGGGGAGGACAGTACCTAGAAAACTGAAACTGGGAGAGTCCTTGTTTCGTGAAGCTAAAAATCGTAAACTAGTGACCCAGGATTTGAATCCAGCCTACTGACATTTTTTGTTTACCCCACATATTTTTTTTAAATTTATTTTCTATCATCCAAAGAAAATCAGGGACTTTCATATAAAAGTCCGTGTCTATGGCTGATTTCTGAAAAGTATTTGGATCCACATTCCAATGTGGCTTGGCTGCAGCTGCTCCCTTTTAAAGGGCAGACTCCTTCTCATTTGTCATGGTCTTCTTCAGAGTTGATGCTTGGTCACTTTTTGGTGTTATCTGCTTGGCATCATTTGAGTCTGCGATCTGTACTCTAGGTCTTTGGCTCAGAAAGATTTGGAATCAGGCCCAATCCAACTGTCTACTAAACTAAAACAAAACAAAAAGAAAACACCACCAAAATATAGAGATCAGTTCTTTGAGGGGTGGTGGAAATGTTCTAAAATTGATTGTGGTGATGGTTGCACAAGTCCGTGAATATACTAAAAAACATTGAATTGTATAACTTAAATGACTGAAGTATATCGTGTGTCATATCTCAAAATGTTATTAGATAATAGAGATCAGACAGAGAGTTAGGGAGCTAGGGAGCGAAACACAAATGATCAATCAACTCCTCATTACCAATTGTTGTCACTGAACTCCTAGAAGGTCTCTAGTATTGCAATATTGGGATAGCAGCAGACTCAAGTGGTTAAAAGTGTAAAAACTAAAGATTAAAAATAGTACCTATTTCATAGGATTGTTAGGAGAAGTAAATGAGGCAATCTCTGCAAATCACACAGCGCTCTGCCTAGTTTGTGTAAAGCAATGGATGAATTACTGGTTACTATAGCATAGAAGAGACTTAACACTTAGCCTAATAACACTGAGATTGTGCATCTAGCTAGTACCCTGATCACAGGAGCAGCCCTTCCCAGAGCCTCTCCAAATGTCTAGTCAGCTCTAGTTGGCTACAGATCTTCAGCCAGAACTCTAGGAGCCTTAGAGGCTCTTACGTGATGAAGGAAAAAAATAGCACACAAACACCAGAGTATCTAGGGAACTAGGGATAATGTGTTTATGCTTTATTCAAACAATGCGATGTAGTAGAGTCTCCACAATGCTGAGAGGAGGAGATGTGAATTACAGTTCTGCTTCCACTCCAAGTTGGGTTCCCTTTTAAAAATACTATTTTTTTTTAATGTTTGAGTTTCCTCATATGTTGTAGGACAATGGTATTTATCCTGCTTACCTTAGAGACCAAATAAGAAAGAAAGCATGGAAGCTGCCTGGAATGGTACAAAATTCCATATAAGGTAAGATGTTTATTTAAGTATATAAATCAGTGGCCACAATCAGGTGACAGGCATATCCTCACTTAAATGCTAAGGGGGCTAAGACTCTTGTAACAAGAGAAGGGATGATTTTATGGTTTCTGACCCATTGTTTTTGTAAAGACTCCCTAAAGGATGGTGAAGCTCTTGACAATTAGAATAGATGCAGCACAGACTACCATATGCCATGAGAAAAAAGAGCTTCTGACCAAGAAAAATCATCAAACCACTGTCTATACCCTATTACAGAATGGAAAATGTCAGCTTCTCTAGATTACAGGGTAGGGCTCCAAAGCAGAGAAAATTATATTCACACCTAGAAATGGGAAATTTCTTCTCTGGGAGGATCTAAGCTATCATTAGGAGAGTGGGTAGGTGGTTGTGACATTTTTTTCTTCTTGATGAATCTCCTTATATTCTAAGAAAGGTTTAGAGATGGATTAACCCTGTTATATCTCTCCTGCCCCAGAGCTGTCCAGATAACTTCAAATAATTCATCCAATGGACATGGGATAGGCAGGGGCAATTTGCCAGTGAAACAGTTGATGGATCACCTTGATGAACTAAGTGCGGGTGTTTTTAGCTTGACTAGGGCCTGGAAGTATCAAGGCATGAGGGACAGCTGATTCCTAAAGCTTCCCACATATTCGTACAGTTGAAACTGGTAGACTAAGGAAGTCATCACCAGCAACTCCTTCTTACTCATTTGGTTATATCAAGAGATGTTTTAATATAAAAGAGTTAAAGGAGGGAGCTAAGAGAGGGGGAATAAGGTAAAAGTATTCATGAGACCACACAGGAAGAGAAGGGTGCCCTGCCAACAGGGAAATATTAACGACATGTTAGGCAGTGCAACAGAGCGATCAAGAGCGTGGGCTGTGGCACTAAACCGACCTGATTCATATCCTAAGTGGCTCTGCCACTTAGGTCCTGTACTAAATTTTAAAATGAGATGAGAACAATATTGATCTCTTGCAGTACTTGTATGGACAAAAGGAGAGTACATACTTAAAGCATGTAGCACATTTCCTGGCACAGAGGAAGTGCTAAAAGTAAGAGTAGTTATTATGGGCTCTTCAGCAGGCCATTCAGAGCCTTTCCCAATTTAACCCAAGCCAATACTTCTAGCTTCAGTTGCTATCACTCCTGGCCACGTATTGTATGCCTCGCTACAAAGGGCCCACAAGACTGTTCACCAGCCCCAGATTTAATCATACCTATCTACATCTTCCTGTCTTTGTTTATGCTGATATTCCTGCCTAATATATCCTTTTTCTCTTTTCTACCAGGTAAAAACCACCCATTGAGGCCCAGCTAAAGTTTCACTACTTTCCTAAAGCTTTTGCCTTCCTTTAATCCAGGTGGGATTAAAGCTTACTTCTTTGTATTCCTGTTGCATGTTTTATTATATAATGTGTTAAGTTCCATACTAGCATTATCAACAGCTGTACATGTTTTAGTAATCTCCATGAATTTGTGAGAACAGGAGCTCTTTTGTGTGTATTTTTATATCACTAGCACAGTAACTGGCATGTAGTATTCATTAAAGTTTGTTGATTAGAACTGAATTTGTCAATATTATTAACACCTATTCCACCTATTTCACAATAGGATGCCATGGAGAAAAAGTGTGAGAACATATGTGAAATCACTAAAAAATAGGATGCTTTGTACAAATACAAGGAATTAACTACTCAGAATTCATGCTGGAGAGTTTAAATAAAGAAAATTTTTCTCTAGTCCAGTCAAAGGATAATCAATATGCATATTAATGATCTCAGTGCATTTCCAGCTCATGAAGTGCCTTCTGAATTATCATGAAGTTTTATAAAAAATGTGTTCTGATTCTTTGATGTTTGGGAATTTGTGACAACATAACTGATATGGTTCCCTTGTGTAACTCGAATATTTATTAGATCAAGGTAGCTCAATCCCCAACTAGTGTGGAGAAATGGGACTTTGACATTTGTAAGAGAGAGTGGGAAAGTTAGTAACTAAACTACCCTCATCATCTGTAGTGAAAGCTGACATGAATGAGGCAAATACACCCCTTCCGGAGCACATATTGCCATTCCTGTCTATAGCACACATAGTTGATGTTCTTCAGTTTGGAATTTGGTTCCATACACTCTTTTAACCTTTGTTAATAACTTTGTGAGTCTGATGTTGCTTTCCACTCCATAAGCTCTCAGATCAAGGACTTGGTCTTCTACTTTTGTATTATCTACCACAGTGCTTAGCATAATTGCTGGAAGCATTGGCACTCTCTCAGTAAGTACTGGTTGAACATAACTGAATTTAGGGAAATATGTAAAACAGTTAATGCATAGAATAAATAAATTAGTAAATAGTTTAGACCCAACAAAAACATTAAATACATAGGTGGATAATCTTGGAATCAATTTTATTCAATTCGGTAATATTTTAATAATTACTGACAGCATTTGTATAAGGTTGGTTTTTATAAAGTGCTCTTCTCATAAACTCTTCCTCTCAAAATAGCAAATCTGAGTGAAAGTAGATACTCAGGTGTTTAGGTGTCAAAGTGAATACAATAGCAAAAATTAACATTTATAGAACAACTACTGTAGAATAGGTATGATTCTAAGTGTTTACTATGTACTTTCTTATTAATTCTCTCAAGGACCTTTTGAAAAAGATATGGTCATTATTTTCATCTTATAGATCAAATAAAAACTGAGGCTTAGAGAGGTAAATTCATTTGCCTAAGGTCACACAGCTAGTAATCGATGAAAGACAACTTCTCCACCATAAAAGGCTGAGTCAATGAACCTGCAAGGAAGTTCTACCACAAGAATAACTAGATAGAGCTGTTTAACAACACTCTTTGCAACCTCATATCTAGAAAATAATTTGAAAAGAGAAAAACAATAATAACTCACAATAGAATAACCAGAGCAATGAACAGCTGTTTCACTAACAAAAACTAATTCAAAGTTTACATGACATACTGGATCCAAAGCAGCAGCCCTGTACTCTGACAGTGTTTTTCCTTATGGGCATGATAAGCAGAGAGGGGATGGGTCTTGCTGTGGAGCTAAAGAGGATAACTTTATAGATAAACAAGCTTCCCCTGGAACAAGAATCAAGAAAAACCAGGCTAAAATGAGAAGTCAAGAAAGCACATTCGTAGTCCATTTCTGACGAAAAAAAAAAAAAAAAGCACAAAATGTAAAGTACAATTGTTCGGTGTGAGATTTATAAAGCATAAACTTGTAGGTTTATTGCAATGAAAGCCTCACCCAGAGGTAAAGATACCTCACTTTAAGATGAAAGCCCAGAACTTCTTTCTGAAAAGATCCATTTTTAGTGCAACCTGTTTGAGTGGGTTGACTCTTGCATAAAACTGACTTATTTTATGATCTTTAAGCATGGTTTCATGCCCATTCAAGATTTCCAAGTGCTTGGCACAGGTGCTGCTCCTCCCTATTCTTGTGTCTGTAGCAAACATTGCAAATGGATCACAGCATTCTTTCTTATTATCTAGAATCACCCTCAGAGTCATTCTTGACATAGCACTGCAGGTGGCAACTACCAATCAATTAGATTTGACTTGTGAAATAAAACTGATTTGCTATCTATGACCCAGAGTACACAGATTATTTGCAAGTGGAGAGCTAGCTGGCACGATATACAGCAAACCCTAATAATGACTATGTCTGTAGTAACCCAATGCTACTCAGCAGCAGAAGCTTCTTTCCTTGGTCTTATCTTCATTTGCTGCTCTGGTCATCCCTGACCACCAGCAACATAATTTTTCTCAGTAACAGAAAATAAACTTGCTAGGCATGAGGTACCTTTAAGAGGACCTCGGGGATCAGGAGCCGTCCTGCCCACTGACTTGTTGCTCATCCAAGCCCTCAAATGCTGAGCAATATAAGGTTGAATATGAACTTTTAAGAGTTCAAATTTGGCTCATAAAATGCCCATTTAGTCTCAGTTCTCTCCTATGCAGGGTGAGCTGACATGTATCTAAAAGAGCATTGGATCATGATTAAGATGATCCTGGCTTCTAGTTCTGTCTCTGCATCCATCCTTAGTTATAGTTCTCCTTGAGACCCAGCTTCCCTATCTGCATAATGGAGATAGTAATGCCTACCTTAACTACCAAGTGACTTATTGCGAAAATGTTAAACTATTAATTTTATTTTTTTCATTTTTCATTCCATCTCACTACTACTCAAATATTTTGTCTCATTTTGCTGGGTGCAATTATATTTGACTCAAAAAGATATTTACAATGGGTGATTACTTTATAAGCATGTTTTGTTGATATTGTTTTATTTCATTTTGGGGGGGTATTTCTCTGATTTTTACACTAAAAAGTAAAATGACAGGAGAATGGATGGACTTGCTTTTTTAGCCATATGTCTGGTGATCAGTTCAGAGTATAGATAACAGAACTTGGTCAATGGGTGTGATTCATAATGTATGAGAGCAAAGCAACTTACTGATCAGCCCAAGTCCTTAGCTATGAGTTCAACAGGAGAGGAAGCAGAGGTTCTCAGAATCTACTGCTCAACATCACCTTTCCAAAAGTGCCCTGGTATGTAGCCCAGTGGTTTTCAAACTATAATTTCCAGTTTCCTAGAGATCCACAGGGATGCCTCAGGAGCTTCCTTAGATGCCTTCAAAAATGGTCTTGCTGTGAATGAATAACTTCAAAATTTGAATAAGTATATGATATGGTGTATCTTCTCTAGATTCAGATCCATATTTGATTCAAACCAGTACATTTATTAATTGACATCCTGCCCAGGTTCTGGGGCTGGGCTTATCTAATAACCTCCTTATTTAATATCTTACAACCTAGAATTTGACCTTGACTTATATGGATTGTACTTTCCCATGTTTTCTCTCTCTGCCCAGGTTCCTTTGCTAAATCTGGATCCTTAGTCCCTGTTGCTGAAAATAGACTTTAGTTCATGCACGTAATGCCTGGGATGATTTTGCAAACTTGTCTCATGGATTAATGAGAATCAACCATGTAAATCCAAAAGGAGAGTTCATTCCAGTGGAAACTTAATACTTCTAGGCTTAATATTAATGAAAAAACATAAATTAGCTCAAATATAGATATAACGACCCCAGGACATGCTGCAGAGGGTGTTCATGAAAAACCTTTAATACATATACTATTTACAAGGCAGTAAACACAGTCTTTGTTAATATCTTTGGGGAGCTTTGGCTTTGACAGAATTTTCATTTACAGATTCTCTTTGGTCTAGCTAAACACAAGCTGATTAATCTTTTGGACTTTGACTTATAGAAGAGTTCACAAGCATTGCAAAACACTCATTGAAAATATAAAGGTTGATTATCATTGTGTGAGGAGGTTGAAAATAAATCTTCTGGCAACTGATATATCTGGGTTTGCAGTTAATGACCTTTTTGGGTTAGTGCCCAGGACATAGATCTTTCATATGTATCTTTCTGCTAAGATTGCAACCAATCTGAAGCTGGCTGGATAGCGATTTAATAAAATGGCCCCATATGAGAAGTAGGTTAAAAGCACTAATGTCATAATGTCTACCTGGGAAACAGGCTTTCAATTGCCTTGGTTTTCTTTTGTATGGGGCATATACACAAAATGTAAATGTATGGGGCAGATAGGCAAAAAGTAAAGCTGGGAATTTAATTTTTTTTCCAAAGTTGTTATTTAAATTAATACATTTTACTTTTTACAGTAGTTTTAGGCTAATAATAAAATTGCGCAGAAAGTATGAAGACTTCCCATACACTCCCTTTCTACCCCCACCCCACACACAACTTCCACCACTGCTAATATCTCACGCCAGAGTGGTACAGTTGTTACAATTGATGAATATACATTGACACACCATTATGACTGAAAGTCTATTGTTGACATTAAGATTCACTCTTGCTGTTATGCATTCTATGAGTTTTGACAAATGTATAATGACATATATCCATCATTATACTATTGTACAGAATAGTTTCACTGCCCTAAAAACTCACTGTGCTCTGCCTATTGATCCCTCCCTCCCCTCTATCCCCTGACAACCACTAATATTTTTACTATCTCTATAGTCTCATCTTCTTCAGAATGTCATATGGTTGGAACCAAACAATATGTAGCCTTTTCAGATTGGTTTCTGTCACTTGGTAGTAACGTGCATTTAAGTTTCCTTCATGTCTTTTCAGGGCTTGATAACTCATTTCTTTTGAGTGCTGAATATTATTACATTATCAGTATGTATCACAGTTTTTAATCCAGTGACCTACTAAATAAAGGACAATGACAATTATGAATAAAGCTGTGATAAACATCCATGTGCAAGTTTTTGTGTGGACAGAAGCTGTCAACTTCTTTAGGTAA